ACATACTGCTGCTGACTTGCTCGAGTATGCTAATCCAACGAATATTAAAGTTTACTTGCATGCCACGGTACACAAGATCATTACAACAGAAAATAAGCTCGGTCAATAGAAACAAATCATTAGTTTTTGTGTGAATTCTTATTTATTCTTATATGTGCATTTAGCCCCTGGATCACGACCGAAAGCAGCCGGAGTAATATACAAGGATGCAACGGGATTAAGGCACAAGGCATATTTGACAAAAGAACGGAACAGCGAAATAATCGTATCATCGGGTGCCATTGGCAGCCCACAGCTGTTGATGCTGAGTGGTATTGGACCTGCCAGTCAGCTTAAGGCAAATCAGCTTAAGGCAAAATCAGAATAGCCTGCGCCCATGCAATTATGTGACCGAAATCAATTCTCATAAAAGATGAAAGATTTCAGGGAAATGAACGTTTTCCCCAGTAAAATTTGCACTCCAACTGTTGACTGTTATCATCATCAGCACACACCTTCAAACATACAGCCAACAACATGATTGCATGAACCAGAACATTCAAAATTTTGAAACTTCAAAACAAATGCAATTGGAATCATCTAAATCCCATTTTCAGTGACGGTTTATATATAAAAGAAAAACACTGATAATTTTTATTGGTACATTCGAACTTGTACAACACTTTTTGAGTAACAAAACTGGCTGAAATCACAGCGAATTGTTTCATGAGAAGCAGCTCATGCTCGGAACTTCAGCACTGAAAATAAAAGAACTTCCCAAGAGTTTAATGGCTAGAACAAAGTATACCGATTAGTATCATCTCCTTTAGTTTCTATGATGCATGATGTTTGGTTAAGGCATCGCAAACTGCCTGTTTTGTGGGCAGCACCGGAATCGCACCTCGCTCTGTTACTGTCAGGGCTCCACAGGCATTTGCAAAAGCTAAGGCTTCTCTTAACCGCTTCTCGTCCTGTCAGAAAGATGCAGTTATTTATATGTTTCACATGAAACAATGGTGTTATAGCTTACAACGGTGAACCTCGAATCCACGCTTTGAAGATCATTTACTCTAATTTGTGTAAGAAATGTGGGTACCTGAAACAGATTTAAATCAGAAGCTAGGCTGCTCAGCAAGCCACCGACAAAAGCATCGCCAGCACCAGTAGTGTCAACAGGTTTAACTTTGATGCCAGGAACCCTCCCCTTGAAAGTCTGCGATGGATATAGGTCGATTGTTTATGCAAATCACACGTTAAGAATTATCGATGAAATTTTTAATAACCTTTGTTATCTTTTTTCTCAGACAAGATCAAGCTTACCTTGGTGTAATATCTACAACCTGCTGGCCCCTCGGTTACGATAAAAAGCTTAAGATTAGGATGAAAGAGGTTCTTCATCACCACATTATCATCATAAGGGTCACCACCTTCGGTTAAGAAGGTAATCTCATCCTCGCTTACCTGCATTGTCATACATTAGCCTGCAATTTAATGAAGTAACGAGATCCATTTACAAGCCTCGTAATCAAATTCGTACCTTAATAAGGTCTGCTTGATCCCATATGCTCATTATTCCTTTACGAGCAGCCTCTGCTGATGGCCACAGTGGCAATCTTAAATTTGGATCATAAGAGAGGATGCTGCCGGAACTCTTGGCGATTTTCATTGCTGCAAGTTGAGCCGACTTGCATGGTTCCTCGATCAAACTAATCGAGCCAAATGAAAGATCTTTGCCTGCAATCAAATATTGCTTGAATATCAGAAAATTCTAAATCCTGCCAAACCAACCAGTCTTTCACATCCACTAATTCAAACAAAAACGAGAAATGCAGAAAGGAAAAAAAGGAAGGTAAAAAAGAAACCTGCTTGATGAGGTTTATATCAAGTTCTGATTCATGAAGACGCATATCCGCACTTGGATGACGGAAAAACAAGAATTCGCGTTCGCCATCAGCTCTGAGCGTAACGAATGCCAATGCAGTTCTTGCATTATGGTCAAACCGAATGCCAGAATTGTCCACATTGTTTTCTTTTAAAATGTTAGCCAACATGTGGCCAAATTCATCATCCCCTACCTGGTATGGAATCACAAGGCGTCATGTGCATTTCTAATCTCATGATCCAAATAAATAATAATCCGATTTCACTACGAAGAAGTATAATTCGTTCCTACACATTTAGCCGATTTTGGACCATTGTTAAGGGTCCAAAAGTAAAAGGCGGTCCTTCTTATTTACAACAAATAGAATTATTCTAGGTGATAGGTACATAGTAAACATAGATGTTAGAGTTTACCTTGCCTATGAAAGCTGATTTTCCTCCTAATCTAGAAACGCAGACGGCCACATTAGCTGGAGCTCCACCAGGGGCCTTCTTGAAAGCAGGTGCTTCAGCCAGAGAAACCCTCCGACTGTCGGTACAAAGTCGATCAGAAATTCACCAAGGAAACAACTAGCGAATTGTTGTTTGCAGACTTCCCATTCGTTTCGCCGAGAAGATCTTCACCTCCACCTACAATCCGTAGTTGTTCAAGCCGAAAAAGAATCTAGACAACTATCTATATGCACTGCCAATATGCCACTTCTAGTCCTATCCTATGCTAATCTGTTCATTTTAAAACATTACCTGCCTACTCATTCCGAAGCACAAATCGAAAATTCAGTATCCACTACACAGATCCAATGTGTAAGTATCAAGAAACAGGATTTCATTGACCAAACCAGATTCAGAACACTTAGAAAGCAATCAAATACCACGGTGTCATTCATTTCTTCATAATTGAAAGAAGGACGGACCTCAAAGCAAGAACTCTAGCATTACTCGTGAAACACACTTTCTAGCAAATACCGTGTAGTAAAGATCAAATTTTTAATGCTTAGAAAGATCAAATTTTGAATGCTTTGTTCCAAACTACGAATTCGCATTTCTATTCCACAAACAAAATCTTCGTTTCGTCTACTCTAGAAGAAACCCGTTATCTCAGAAAGCAAGAAGCAAATCATGTTCAAAGATGAAGATTTAGAATCCAGAAAATCAAATATCAAAAGGACTAATAAAACAAAAGTAAAAGAATCAAGAACAATGAGACGAACCTGTAGTTAAATTCCCAGCCATTTTTGTTTTCGGAAAATAACGGAGCTTGAATTTGAAAGAGCAAAGATATGACCACTAAAGATGGTGCTGGTTGTGTTTTCCCTGTACTTGAAACAGGAAAGAGAAGGAAGAAAACATAAGCTTTTGTAGGAAGGTGACGGTCGCCAATCTTGATTTGGATTTGTCTTTGGAAAATAAAAATCAAGACTTTGACAAATTTATTAAGCTAACCATCACATGAATTACAATTAATTGCAATTCTTTGGTGAATTACTTATTAAAAAATTGATTTTTTTTAATATTGCTGCATTCGGACCACAGAAAGACATAAAGCCAACATTGTTGGGTTGCGGTGCGTCCCACGTGGCATGGCCAATAATATTCAAGTGTCTCCTTCTTCAAACTTTCTATCAACATTAATTTATTACGACAAGTAATTTTATGAAAATAACATATAATAATTAATTATTAAAATTATACATAAACATAATAATAATATATCAGTAATTCAGTATAATTTTAAAAAGTTGAGGGTTAATATATGGTCACTATAGAATCACTAATTTACCTTCATAGACCATATTTTGACCTAAGATTTGGAATGACAATTTAATTCAAATATGATGATTTTCGATTCTTAAATTAAGATCGGGTCGGATCGGATTTTTAAGAAGTGAGATGGAGTCAAATCGAGTTCGAGTGGAGAGTAAAAAACTCTTATCTGACCAGATCCAAAGATAATAAAGTAATTTCTTTAAAAAATTATAACTCTTTTTAATTCAATTCTTATTTTTTATCGGGTAGGGTTGAATCAGATTTATAATCTAAAAATTCGGATTAAATCAAAGTCGAGTGGAGGATATATATTTTTCGAGTAAAGTCGGGTGAATGATATAAATTTTTAGATCATATGTATACTTTATTCTTTTTGTAATTCCTTTCCAATTTCAAAATAAGGTCGGTTCAAATGATTTTTTATTTAAATATTAATATTTGTAAAGTTTGAAAAGTTGAAGCTTGACTTATAATATTAAAATTTTAAATTAATATTTTTGAAAATAAATTCTGTTGATCACATTTTATTATTATTTATAATTAATTTCTCTTAAAATTTCATCTCATTTTCTCTTAAAATCGGCTGATTTTGGGGGAAAAAGAAGCGAAAAGTTGAAGGAATATTAGAATTCATCAAAGAAACGTATTTCTGAAAAGATAATGATTGAGGAGAGGGCAAAGGAAGTTTAGGAGTTTGGCTGTAATTGGTTTCCTGGATCAATCTCTTTTCAGAAAATCAATTACATTATTTGGATGTTGTTGTTAAGAAACGTGTATAATAGAAAATATACACAATAAAGAAAATGCTTGCATTCATATCAGCTGGCATACTACATTTATAAGAGTGGTTTAGCTCACCATTAACCACCACTAATCATCTAACAAACTAACTGACTTAGCTAACAGACTAACCACCTCTACACGTATGTGCTGCATTGACAGCAGCCTAACATTCCTCCTGCTCTTCCTTTTCTCCTCTTTGACAATAATCTAACATTCTCTCTACTTTTCCTTTTTGATGAAAAGATGAACACTAGAACCGGAAGTGTCGATGCTTCCTCCCGTTCACTTGAATCGGAAGTGCCGATGCTTCCTTTCGTTCGATTTGAATCGGAAGTGCCGATGCTTCCCTCCGTTCGATTTGAATTGGAAGTGCCAATGCTTCCCTCCGTTCGACTTGAATCGGAAGAGCCGATGCTTCCCTCCGTTCGATTTGAATCGGAAGTGCCGATGCTTTCCTCCGTTCAACTTGAATCGGAAGTGCCGATGCTTACCTCCGTTCGACTTGAATCAATGCAAACTTTTGATGTGAATGAACATTCAACAAAAAAATTCTAAAAAAAAACTATTCTATAACAATAATGTTTCGCAGCTTAACTACCAACAATTCTTCTTCCTCCCTGCACGTAAACCTTCTGCTTCATATTGCTTGGAGCAAGGGCAGTGATCTCCTTGCTCATACGGTCTGCAATACCAGGGAACATAGTTGAACCACCATTAAGAACAATGTTACCATAGAGATCCTTCCTGATATCTACATCACACTTCATGATAGAGTTGTAGGTAGGTTCATGGATTCCAGCTGCTTCCATCCCTATGGAAGATGGTTGGAAGAGGACTTCAGGAAAACGGAATCTCTTAGCTCCGATAGTAATGACTTGTCCATCAGCTTTGAGGGTATACTCAAAAGCACTGTTCATTAGCCCACCTTTGCATCCAGAATCACATGAACCTTTCTCTTCTGGATCACACTCATGATCGCAGTCGATTAGCTTTTGTTCGCTGAGGCTCACAAGTTTTCCGGTTGCCAAAAAGTTAGCACCTTCCAAGGCTCCTGTTGTACTAAAAGACCAGCATGATCTGTATGAACCCTGGTTTTTTACGGATGAAACAGCTCCTTTTTCTCTCCTGTCGAAATCTTCAGGCAAATTATCAATAGGCAAAATCGGTGCCTCGGTCGCATCTTTAGGCAATCTCAATCTCCTTAATCCCAAATACGCCTTCCTGAACTCTCCTAGAGTCAAATCGGAGAACTGAGTCACCCCGTGAATCGCAGATGGGTCAAGCTTCTGATGACGCGCCGCTCGTCTCAGGTTATACTGGAAAACCTTGAACCTGTAACCGTGCTCCTCCTGAGACACGTACGATTTCTTGAACCGCTTCTTGAACAGAGAGAAGCGATGCTCCGCTGTCAGCAGCGGTGGCTCGGCTCCATCGTGACCATACGTTACTTGCTCGATCAAAGGATCAACTTGGAATCCCCCCGCTGTAGTACGACCACTGGCATACAAGGAAAGAATAGCCTGGATGGCAAAATACATGGAAGGTACATTGAAGATCTCAAACATAAACTGCTGCTCGAGATGGAAATGCAGTCACAATAGAGCCAACAGACTCCATGCAGCGGAAGAACAACAAGGTCAGGACCGTTTGGCGATTGATACCATGTTAAGAAACGTGTATAATAGAAAATATACACAATAAAGAAAATGCTTGCATTCATATCAACTGGCATACTACATTTATAAGAGTGGTTTAGCTCACCACTAACCACCACTAACCATCTAACAAACTAACTGACTTAGCTAACAGACTAACCACCTCTACACGCATGTGCTGCATTGACAGCAACCTAACATTCCTCCTGCTCTTCCTTTTCTCCTCTTTGACAATAATCTAATAGTTGCATTGTAAAATGTTTTACACTGTTTGGTTAGTTTTCCTGAAAACAATTTACGAAATCTATTTTTTTTAAATATATATATATTTTTATATTTTTCTTGTTTTTTATATTTTAATTTTTAAAGTTATTTTATAAAATTGTATTTTATAAAATTTTGAAATGAATTGTTTTATTTGTATAAGTACATGAAATTAAATTTGTATAAAATATGTAGGTTTAATAATATAATGTTGATAATGTATTAAAATATATTATCAAAGTATATAATTAAAATTACATCATTATTAAAACAACAATAATAATAATATTTTCAAAGTCTTGCCACTGAAGCAGTGGCTTGTTGGCAACATGCCATAACACTTAACAATACCATATGATATAAAAGAGGCAAGCGAACCTCCATACTCCTTTGTGGTTGTGCACGTTGCGCTTAAACCAGCAGGTCGATGGTTCTATTCTGGTTGGCAGCAATGGTGATGCGCTTCAAAAGGCAGTCAACCAAGGGAGAAGATGCACTTGGGAGAAGCTTTCAGCAATGAAAGCAAACTGTGGCATTGAGCTTGCCCTTAACGAGTGTGTTTCGATTCTTAATCACATGCGTAGGCTTAAACGGAGCGCTGATAGAGCTGCTGCAGCCTCTGCTTCTTCTTATACTTCATCCCATGGACCCACCAACACAGCTCGGTATCTGAATATGGTAACGATGATGCTAATGCACAGCTAGCATCCAATATCAAACAGCTGCTACTGAAGATCCCAGTAGTGTCTATGATGGTGATAATCAAGGTGGTGTTGTAGGTGGTTATCTTCAAGATCAAATCAGATATATGCCAAGTTGACGGCTATTTTTGGGTCACTTCCCTTGCATATTTAATGTCAAGCTGAAGTTTTTTCCCCTAATGTATGGGATATCCAACTAAAACAAAAGGTTCAAGGTAATTTATTACTTTTAATTAATCAAAAAAAAATATGAGGCAAGACCGGAACCCTCAACTAATACCGATTATTTTTCTTCCCTCATTATCTTACTCTTAGCAACATGAATGACATTCAATAACATGAACTGGGATCAAACATAAACCTCTTTTACTGTCTCATATGGTATAAATAATGCTTTAGCATATGAAAGAAGCTCAACTTGGGGTAAATACTTAGGTTGCGTAAAACATATCAGGGAAACTAACACTTCCACTTTCAATTCAAATGAAGCAAAACCCATTGTTTCTCATTATTGTATAAACAAAAATCTAACCACACCTACTTCAAATTCACATCACAAGCTATAGCACCCAGCAAATGAAAGGAAACCCCCAAGGAAGCCCTGACTAAGAAGCAAAATAGCACAGTGAAGAAACAACAAATCTCAAAATTTAAAGACCCATGTCCCCAAAAATAGCAGAAAAAATAATCTAAAGATGCAAATCATGTTGTGATTACAAACATTAAGATAACGATATTATCCAACCATAATAATACAAAGATATTGTCTAATTCATAATAAAACTAGTTATCGCTGCATCTAGATTTGGTTAGTCAGTTGGTGAGTTTTAATGCCAAATACAAGACAACACAAGATCTTATATTCCTTATTTCTTTTTTTTAACAGTTTCACATCTCCATTGTCTCATCCTAAATGTTCCAAATGATAGCTTTATTAGAATTTAGTTAACCTAAAGCTAAAGTTCATATTACGTTTTAGCTTTTACCTAAAGCTAAAGTTCATATTACATTTAAGCTTTTACCTAAGCTAAAGTGGATGTAATTTATGTCGATATACTATTAAGAATTTATGTCATATATCATATATTGAAAAACGTACCTCGTTTCCCTTTTGTTATCAATGATATGCCAGGTTCAAAGGTCGATCCTCGTATTGGAGAAAATTTTAATCAAATGTGCAGGTGGACTCCAGTAAGAAGAACCTGTCAGAAATATTACAACTAATAAGATTCAGACATCATATAACAGAAATATTAATCGATGAGAACAAATTGACAATACGAAATAGCCAGTGTTAGAGTCAACATAGAGCATAAGTACAAAAAAATCCAGTTTCTTTTGATTTATTTTTAATTATGGTATCTGTAGTGCCATATTTTGTCGTATATTCTCAAATTTGGTTATCATATGTTTTATTAGTGCCATTCGATCTTGTAGCTGGAGTGAATTGTTTATCATGCTAGTGAAATTCACAGAAAATGCTCAAAGAACTGGAGGTCGCACCATTCTCAAAATGGGAAAAAGAACTCCCAAAGATAGTTTTTGATCTACGTTTTAAGGTTTGTTGAGGTTAAAGATTGTCTATTATTTTTTCTTTGTGAATTTTTACTGATGATATAAGCTGATTATTTGAATGAAAGGCGCTAGCTTGTAGTAGTTTAATGAAAAGAAAAGAAGAAAAAATTATGTTTCATAAGCATAACAATGTTTTATTCTGTTTCTGTTTCCTATAAGATGAATACTATTTCTCCTTGAAGATGTGTTATATTTAGGCTTTGCTTTCTAAGAGAAGAATGGAAAAACCTTTTAGAGTCTGATGGGGAGAATCGTAAGTACCCTCTGATTGTTTACTTATTCTCTGCCCATTATCAGCCTGTTGCCATAAGTAACTAGCAAAGCGACTACGGTTCAACCTGCACATGAGTGCAGTGTGGGACTTGAACCTACTGCTTTTCCTTTTACTGCTGGATCAAGTTCTTATTTCGTATAGATAACAACATTAACATCAGATACTTATTTGGTTCATTTTTATGATGCTCATCTCTTTTTTCCCTTCTCCTATTTTGTTTTTCCATCATCCTAGAATGTATATCACTTTCAGTGTCATTTTTTGTTGCATATGTTGAAAATATTGCTTTGAAACTGCAAACTGTAGCTAGAAAAGCAGATAAAAATGGAATACTAGTAGCTCAAATCAACCTGTCAACAATCAAACATAGATCCACATAACTGAACGTACCCATAATAGAATAGAATTAACAGAAACACGGAACTTACAAGTTGGCGATAACACCGGACTCGCTTTGCGAGCGAGTAGAATCCGCGAATGGTAATCTGGAAATGATTTAGACTCAAAAAGCTGAGTTCCCCTAAAAGCTGAGTTCGACCTCTTAAATGGTAATCTGAAAAGCATATGAATACCAGTAACAACGAAAAAGACAGAAAATTCATAAGCAGGAAACTATAAATGGTAATAAGAACCAAAAAAATCCCAGATGAAATGTCGACCTCGATGGTTACCAAATCAATCACCACATACAGAGGGAAAATGGCAGTGCGATTGGTACCTTTTAAAGAGATTTACCCTTGGAAATCAAAGAGGAAAGCAAAAGGGGGGGAAGAGCATTAGGGATTCGAAATATTACCTTGGAATCATAGAGTTGCTCCTTGATTTTGCTGGAAAAATCTGCTGATTTTGTTGTTGGTGAAAAGACGACGGGTGATAGTTGATCGGAGAATGAAGGAGATCAAAGGCAAAGAAACATGGGATGCAGTTGGTTCGTAAAATGAATTCCCGATTTTTTCCATGATAAGTTGTTTTACGGGCCAAAGGAGTTTATTTTACGTTGACCGTAATTGGTTTTACATCGATCAAAGGCTTTTACAGAACCAAACACAGTAATTGAGAAAAAAATCAATTCCGTAATTAGTTTTTCTCAAAACAAACAGACCCTTAAACCAAGCTCCAAGGCCAGATCAAGGAATTCGACAATTTAGATAAACCATAGTCTAAAGGTTGGGAGTAGGAGGATTTATTTATTACTAATGAAACTAATTACATAATTAATTTTAAGCGATTATTCTTAATTTAGAAATATTTTTATTTTCCTTTAAGTTAAGATATTTTGACACAAATATATTGGACGGTCATAATATATGTAGAACTATCATTAACCATTGCATTAATCAATATAAGTGAATATCAATGTCGATGGCAATGGTGAAAGGAGACAGATTCATTCATAGGATGTGAAGATAAGCGTCTCCAACGTATACGTGGCACTGCCACTGGCTCCGGCAGTGGCACTTTGTGTTCTTTGATTAATTTATAGCCAAGGAAAGTAGGGGGAGCTGTTTACTATCTCACTCTCAGCTCTGCTCAGCTCAGATTTTGTCCCTATTCTCTCTCCCTTTGCTCCATTAGTCTCTAAAAGATCAAATCAAACAAGCTCTCATTTTCTCATTGATTCATTCATCTTTGAAGAAAAAGGGTAAAAGTTCAACAAATCAATGGCTTCTTGTTGCAATTCTTTGAGACTGGAAGGGCTGTTTCTTTCTGCTTTTAGATCATCAAAACGACCGTCAAATGCCATTTCAATCCCTTCTTCTTCTTTCTCTCGTCTCTCAACCCATGGCTTCCCTCTCAAAACATTTTTTTCAGTATCACACTCGCGTTCTTTTACCATCAGAGCTTCTTCTTCCTCCACCACCATTGCTGAGCCTGAAGGCATCAAGGTTGCATTTTTATCATTGATTTTCTTCCCTTTATTCATCCTTGTTATTTTTAAAAGAATTGTTGTTCAAATAGTGGTTTTTGGTTTTCTTCTACAGATAACTTCGGTCCCCACCAAACCGATTGAAGCGCAGAAGACAGGAACAAGTGACTTAGGAAAAAGGTAAAATTTCTAATGCTGTTGCAGAAATTTCCATTTTTGTTCGATAAAATATTGAAATTGGATTGGGAATCAATTGTTTAACAGAAAATTCCATTTGTTGCAGGTTAAAGTTTATATGCAAGAGAATTACCTGTCTAATTGGATCCAGGTTTGATCATATATATACGGCATTCATTTTGTTTGATTTAGTGTTTAAATGCATTGATGGGTTGATCTCGAATGTCTGCAGTCGTTGTTTAATTCATTACCGCCCGAGGATTACAAGAATGGAGTGTTGGTGTTAGGTGGCGATGGACGGTACTTTAATCGAGAGGCTTCGCAGGTCATTCACTAAGCTTATTCTCAATTAACAGTGCATTGTTCTGCTTGGATCTTGTTCACATAGTTAAGACAACATGGAACAGAGAAGACCATATATTATATATGCATTATGTATTTAAAAAAATAGTCTCTTTGACCGACATCTTGGGATGTTTGAATTCGAAATGCAGATCATTATTAAAATTGCAGCTGGAAATGGAGTTGGAAAAATCTTGGTTGGCAGGTGAGTGTTATTTCACTAGTGCCACCATCGTTCTGGGGAAGAGTGATAAAACTTGAAATATGTTTCAAGTTGTCTTCCCAGTTTTTGTTGTTTAGGCATTAATGAATTTTCTGGCAAAATGTTACTCTGGATGTTAAATTTTATTAAAGGACATATATCCAAATGAAGAGCGGATCATATGCCATTTACAATAACTTGCCACTCCTGCCAATATGATGTGTTATCTAATCTCGATAACTGTTACACTAGACTCACAGTTGACGGTGGTGCAAGAAGAGTTTTTATTATTTGGAACTTTATTTTTTATGCAATCTGCCTAGCTTTTATTATTTTACATTGCAGGGATGGTATCATGTCCACACCAGCTGTTTCTGCTGTCATTCGAAAGAGGAAGGCAAGCATGTCTATTTTCGTTTCAAATGCTATCAATGTTTGCACATCTATGTGTTTTTATCACTTAGTTAAACAAATTTCCCCCCTTTAGGCCAATGGTGGATTTATCATGAGTGCAAGCCATAACCCCGGAGGACCTGAATATGACTGGGGTATCAAGGTTTATTGATAATGCCCCTTTGACAACATATCTGGTTATATTATGATACTTATTTTCTGTTTCTGTTTCCAATTACAGTTTATAGCGCTCAGACTTTAACTTTGTTTGCGATCATCGACTTGTTTTCTAGTTTAACTACAACATTGGCAGCCTGCACCTGAATCCATCACCGACAAGATATATGGGAATACTCTTTCTGTAAGTATTGAATGTCATTGTCATGTGTTCTATACTTCTGTTTGAAGAGTAAATTCCTAGTTGGTTTGGGATGCTTGAGACGAACACCTACATAACAAGTGCATATAAAAGCTGGCTGGAATTTCACATAAATAACGTGTAAATCCACCATTATTCTTGGTTGCAGCTACCTTTTCCTGGATATGTTCTCTGGTTTGTATGTGTGTGCAAATCTTGATTACAAACTGTTTCCCGAGATTCAACCTTTTCCTGGATATGTTCTGTTTTTTTCCTCTCTTTTTTTTATGTCAGCGAATAGCAGCTTGATATCTGAAAATGGAAATACTATGCAGATTTCTGAGATTAAAATGGCTGAGATTCCCGACGTTGACCTTTCTCGCACTGGTGTTACAAAGTTTGGAAAGTTCACTGTTGAGGTTGTAGATCCAGTGTCTGACCATTTGGAATTAATGGAGGTGAGGAAAAAATATCATCCACCTCATCCTATAATTTTGGATGAAACTTCAAGTGTTTGTATCGTTGATGCTCTGGGATTATATGCAGAGTGTGTTTGATTTCCAGCTAATCAAAAGTCTTCTCACGAGATCAGACTTCAGGTATAACTTTTGCACTTGACTAAGCGGCAATGGCCCGATGGGTGTCTGTTGTATTAGGCTATTCCTAGCTTGTTTGGTATTTGTTTGATTCTGATGTTGCTTGCTATGAAGTAGAACATTCTAGAAATGACCTTTCAAAAATTCCAACATATGCCATAATATCTCTATGACAACAAATTTTATCTTAATCAAGTAATTTTTTTAGTGGATCTTCTCTCCGAATATGCTTTGAGAAACATTAGATCTTATAACTAATTCTTACTGTATTTTTGTGTTACATTTTAGGTTTGCATTTGATGCCATGCATGCTGTTACTGATGCTTATGCAAAACCCATATTTGTCGACAAGCTGGGGGCCAGCCTGGTATGTTATGCATGTGAAAATCTGAAAAATATTTTTTGACCTAATAAAGTTGCTAGCCATGTATAGGATTCTATATCGAATGGAGTGCCTCTTGAGGATTTTGGACACGGTCATCCAGATCCTAATCTTACGTAAGATAGTCACTAGTCAATATGTGCTAGAAACGTCGTTCCACTTGAACAATTAAATTATACCACTTACTAACCTGTATGGCTAAACAGGTACGCAAAGGATTTGGTCAATACCATGTATAGTGAGAATGGTCCTGATTTTGGAGCAGCAAGTGATGGTAAAGAAATCGTAGAATTTTATTGTTTGGAGTGTGGTTTGGCATTTCGAAGTACCTTAGCTTCTTTTGTTTGGTTCTGCTGTAGATGTGTATTGATCATATATTCTCGATTTCATGCCTATTCCGAGCTTGTAGAACCAAAGTTACTTGATTGTGTTTCATTAGAAAAGGTAGCGTTAATACTCTTATGATTTAATCACAATCAAGTTGTTTCCTCATTACTCAGGAGACGGCGACAGGAACATGATTCTAGGTAAAAAGTTTTTTGTTACCCCTTCAGATTCCGTTTCAATTATTTCTGCAAATGCACAAGAAGCGATTCCATACTTCCATGGTGGTCCTAAGGTTCAAAATTCTAGCAGCTTTTCTTTTCATGTTTTTTAATCCAAAGATTACTTTTTTATCAAAAAAAAAGAAAAAACAAAGATTACTTATGTCTCGTGTTATCAGGGTTTAGCTCGATCCATGCCAACCAGTGGTGCTCTTGATAGAGTTGCTGAAAATTGGGTCTTACCTTTTTCGAGGTAAGCACTATTCACAACTTATGTGTTCTAATAATCTAAGAAAACAGGGAGAGAGGAGGCAAGGGATTATATTCTTAGGGTACTTTCTTCGAACTACTCGGTATTTTTGTTTTAGGTTCCTACTTGCTGGAAATTTTTTGGAAATCTTATGGATGCTGGAAAGTTGTCAATTTGTGGGGAAGAAAGTTTTGGTACTGGTTCTGATCACATTCGTGAGAAGGATGGAATATGGTAATTGCTTTCTTTTTATAAGAAAACCGAGACATGTCTGGATTGTTGACTTAATAGTGTAATCAATTCCACATAAGCTTGACTGCATGAACAGATGCTCATTTATTGTACTTGTGAGTGTTTTTATTTGCTGTAAATTTATACGTGTGGTCAAAGTATAATGATCTCTATTTATGTCAATGGCAGGGCTGTTTTGGCATGGCTCTCAATCATCGCATATCGAAACAAAGATAAGAAACCAGGGGAGAAATTGGTGTCTGTCTCTGATGTCGTCAAACAACATTGGGCAACATACGGAAGAAATTTCTTCTCTAGATATGATTATGAAGTAAGCACGATAGCCTCTTTCGGAACATGATGTCATGATTTTATAGTTTCTAACTCTGGCTCAGCTAGGGAATTCTTCGCTTTTGGAGGTGTATTCTCTAATTCAGTCTCTGTGCAGGAATGTGCATCTGAATGTGCCAATAAAATGATTGAATACCTTAGAGATCAGGCCTTAAAAGTAAGGCCGGTGAATAGTACGGTATGTCTGCAATCAACCCCTTTACTCCCTGCACCAGCTACTTTCATCTCCATATTTTGCTTCTGTTTGACTGCTTAAATTTCCTCACTGTAGGAAATCATATCCTGTAAGTATTACAGTCTTTGCTTAAAATTCCTATGCTTGTGATTCTAATGTTTATTTGCGTCTGATTTTCAGGTGGATGGAGTGTGGCCTCAAAGCAAGGCGTTCGATTTGTTTT